CAGCCTTTAGACTTTACCTGCACCATCGGCTCTCCTGGCTCTCAAACCTGTGGCCCACACTGCAGACTTAGTCTTGCCAGTTTCCATGACAACATGATGCATCTGTGTTTGTGACATATGCAATCATACATGGCATAACGTTCAGTCAATAATGGGCCAGCAGTGGTCATATAAGACAATTGTGGTGAAAAAGTCATGTGACAGGAGTCGCTGCTGTGACATCACAGGCACTGTTATGATGATGTCTGAGTAAACAAATTTGCCCCTTGGAGAAAAGCATAGTATATGCAATTGTGCACATTTTGTAAATACCCTTGACTAATACAGCCCTCTTTCAGTCTTGGGGGAAAGGGATCTGCTTTGGTTGTTATTATAGCAACAAGACAAACAAAAAAAGGAATTTCTGTCCTTCCATTTGTAGAAAGAATGTGATATTTATTTATAGGCCATTTAGATTATCTCTTGCCCATCACTTAACACAACTGGAACCAGGGATGTTTGACTCCTAAGAATCCATTTGAATCCCTTGTAGTTGGTTGCAAGCTGGTCTCCCCTCCCCCAAAGATAAGCCTACTTCCTAATTTCTTAGAACCTGCGAGCTAGGAATTTGGAAAAATAGTCTCTGCAAGTGTAATTAAGTCAAAGGTCTAAATTGTCAGAATGAATTCCGAACCCTGTAACAAAAATCCTTATAAAAGACATAGAGGAGAGACATAGGCACAGAAGAAGGCCGGAACAAAGCTGACAGGGACATAATTACAAGCTCAGGAAAGCTGACACTCACTGGAATCCAGAAGCAGCAGCTAAATCTTCCTCAGAGCTTTTGGAAGCCCCATGGCCCTGATACTTTGGTTTCAGACTTCCGGCCTCCACATTGTGAGAACAGAAATTTCTCTCCAGAGTTAGAGAACGTAAAATTGTTTTTAAGATTATGGCGACCACCAGAAATGAATGCACTCTATCCTCCAATATTTAAGATACAATCACAGGGATCAAAATGATCTTCAGAGAGCAACTGGAAGTACCCAATGGTCATTCATTCTTGAAATGTAAATCAATAAGATCTTATAAATGGAAAGGAAGAGATCTGATTCACAGAGTACTTGTTGTATGTAGTTACATGCTGTCTGACCTTGCCACACTCACCTCTACAGATTCATTTAAACTTCACCCACCCCACCCCCCAACCCATGTAGTAGGCACCAGTGGAATGTATGTCACTCTCCTGACAAGGCCCAAATTATATTAGGGAGTTGAAAGTGTTTTCACAATGAGCTAGAATACACAAACTTGACACACATTGCCAGGTGCTGGTGACTCTCGCCTGTAATTCTAGCTACTCAGGAGACTAAAGTCTGAGGGTCATTGTTTCAGAACAGTTTGGACAGGAAAGTCCATGAAACTTTTTAATCTCCAATTGACTACCAAAAATCTGGAAGTAGAGCTGTGGATCCTGTGGGAGAATGCCAGTCTTGAGTTTGAAAAAGCTAAGCGATAGCAACCAGGCCCTGAGTTCAAGCCCCAGTATCAAACTTGACATAACAGAAATAAACAAACTAACTAACAAGCAGCTTTGTTGGGGCTGCAGCCATCCATGTCTGCCTGAACCCCAGAACTTCTGCTCCACAGCTGTGTGGCATTAGCAGGTACTTATCCTTTCTGTGCTTTAGTTTTCCCGCCTACAGAGTGGGGACAGTGCTTCTACATGAGTCAGTAGCTTGTAAAATGCTCAGAACCAAGCCTGGAAGAGAACAGTCATTCATTGAGGTGTAGCTATTACTGTAATACACCTGTTATTATGTACACAGTAAGAACCAGATGGATAGTTACTATTATAATCATTAGTCCAATTAGGACTCGGCCAAATCTTAGTTTGGAAACCTGTTTCTGTTTTCTTCTACAGGGTCATGATCCCTTTTATTTTCTGTTAGAACTATAATTCATATACAAAGTAATATATACATATATATAAAGTAATATCGGGGAGGGGTATACTTTAAACATCTTAGAGAATAAAAGTCATGCCAGGTATTGGTGGCCCACACCTGTAATTCTAGCTGCTCAGGAGGCTGAGATCTGAGAATCGAAGTTCAAAGCCAGCCCAGGCAGAAAAGTCCATGAGACTTTTTAGAAAAAAAAATCTCTAACCCCCAGAAAACCAGAAGTGGCTCTGTGGTTCAAAGTGGTAGAGTGCTACCCTTAGGCAAAAAAGCTCAGGGACAGAGCCTAGGCTCAATACTCAAGCACCACGACCAACAATAGAGAGAGAGAGAGAGAATAGAACTCAGTTACAACATAGAAGCTGAATGTCATTAACTTATATTTGTACTCTTAGCTATTCAATAGGTTGAATTCTGACTGTGGAAGTTCAAAGCCAGCCTGAACAGAAAAGTCTGTGAAACACTTATCTCCAATAAAGCTGGAAATGAAGATATGGCTTGAGAGATACAACACCAGCCTTGAGCAAGAAAGCTTATCTCAAGCCCTGAGTTTAAGCAGCAGTACACACACACACACACACACACACACACACACACACACACAACACACACACACACACACTAATACATCAAAATTACAAAATAGATTCAAATCCAGTCATTACACTTACAGCATTAGAATTTTCTAGGGTGAAACCATTGATCATAAGGTAAATTAGGGATGTGGAAAGGGGAAGTAAAAATAAGGGAAAGAATGCTGTTGCTAAAAATAAAATGAAAAATTCTACTGCCAAGTAGACGGTTTTGTCATACCATAATTAGCTTTGGTCAGAGTTCAAATTAGATTGTTTCTGGAAGTTATTCTTCCATCTCTTTAGATTCACTGAACATCTGCTAAAATAGTTCCTGATCACCAGGATCTGGTGGATGAATTGACAAACAATAGCAATATAGACTCAAAATAACTGAGTGTCACAGAGCAACAGTGATAGGGAAAAGAGGCTGTGACTGAAGCAGTTGACAGCCCAATCTCTTCTTGATCACGGAAAATGATGTAAGGCAAATTCCAGAATGTCATCAGCCATGTACCAATGTTGGTATCTGCAGCCTTCCTATTCGCCAATTCTACCGTATACTGGTGTTGCTTTGCTTTTGTTAACCAAATTACGTTTCTTTCATAACATTTTAGTTTCTCTTCCTCTACCTGAACGTAAGGTTTATGCCTACTTAGTTTGATCATGCTCTAAAATAGTGCCTGGCTCATAGCAGATGTTCAATAAATACTAACTGAATAATACACTGAATTACAATCTCCACTCAGGCCCTCAGCTTCAGTAGGTCAAATATATCCACTGACAGAGGACACTGAGGCACTTTGTGCTATTTAACAAAAATGCCTACAACTATATGCACTATAAAATTAACAACTTGACATTGGGGAGGTGCTGTGAGGTTCAGTGCTGGCAAGGGTTGCTCAGCTGCTTCACAACAGCACCTAATTGTTGTGTCCTCCAGAGGGGACAACACTGCCTTCCTTTGGCTTGAACTTGGGACTAGAGCCTGGACACTGTCCCTCAGATTTTTTTCTTTTCTTCTTTTTCTCAAGGCTAGCACTCTACCAATTGAGCCACAGCTCTATTTCCAGCTTTGTGTGTGTGTGTGGTTAGACTGTTAGAAGTCTGGTAGACTTCCCTACTTGGGCTGGCTTCAAACCACAATCCTCAGATCTTAGCCTCATAAGTGACTAGGATTACAGGCATGAGCCCACCAGCACCCAGCTGCTACCCTGTTAATGCCTCACAATGGGGATCAAATTTTAACACACAACCCCCTGGCACTCATGCATCCATAGGAACCTGAGATCATGCACAGATGCAGTAGGAAGGGGAAAAAGCATTATCAAACAACAAGTCATTGTAGAGAAGCTAAACAGTACATAAAAGCACAAGGAAGAAAACAAAAAAAAAAAGTCAGTCACTTGGCCAGTCATGAGTGGCTCAAGCCTGTAATCTTAGCCACTCAAAAGGGTAAGATCCAAAGGAAGATGCTTTAATCCAGCCTGGGCAGAAAATTCCTTGAGACTCCATCTCCAAAATAACAAGCAGAAACTCAGGGCTAGAAATGTGGCTCGAGTGCTACACAACACAGACCCTGAGTTCAAATCCCAGTATGGGGTGGGGGGGGGAGGGGTGGAATCACCCACCAGAGTTTGTTATGATGAAAAGTATCTTTAAAGTATTTTTGTGTGTAAAGGAACACAAACCATACTGGTCGCCATGGTTACGTCCAAGGAAGGGAGAAAAACTTTCTGCCAGGGGCCAACGGTTCACAAGTCTGTAATCCGAGCTACTCAGGAGGCTGAGATCTGGGAATCGCAGTTCAAAGCCAGCCTGGGCAGGAAAGTCCAGGAGACTCTTTCTTTCCAATAAACCACTCAGAAAACCGGAAGTGGCGCTGTAGCTCTAGTGGTAGAGCGCTAGCCTTGAGCTGAAGAGCTGAGGGACAGCGCCCAGAGTTCAGGCCCCATGACAAAAAGAAAGAAAGAAAAACTTTCTTTTTACATGAACCGTTTGTAGCATTTGAAGTATCCCAACACCTCCGTTATTTTATGCAATTAAACGAAACAGCTCAAATATTATGAGCTAGTAACTGATAAGAAGTAAAATGGATGATGGAGCTTGATTCCCTGGGAATTGAGCCCCGCTGAAGCATCATCCGATTTCTACCCTCAGTGGGTGTGCTCATCACGCACATATGCGGGAACTCCTTGAAGGAAGCGGACTTTGGGGGTCTCATATAGTTTGCACGTTCGATCGCTCCTCCTGTTCATTATCCTATGAGATCACTTCGATGGCAAATGGGAGATCTTTGCCAAAGCTAGAAAAGCCGTGATCTTGGCCTCCGTCCCCTCTCCCCGCTCCGCCCCTTACAAATCCAACCAGACCCAGCGCGAATAGAACCTTTTTTTTGCCGCTTTGTGTACCTCCAGCCGACAGGGGGTGATCGAGGCTCCCGGCGGAGCCCGCGGCCTGGGCCGCCGGCCGCTCTCGACGGGCCCTGCTTGACGTAGACGTTGGGGGCGGGGCCTCGCCGTGCGCGGTGACTGGTGGCGGCACTGGCGGCAGCTGGAGGCGTAATAGTGTGGGCGGCGGGGACGGAGAAGTTCGGAGGCGGCGGCGGCTCCCGCGGATCCTCCGGCGCGACGATTTGGACGGCTGGAGCGAGCCCCGGGCTTGTCGCTCACCATGCCGACGGTGGAGGAGCTGTACCGCAACTACGGCATCCTCGCCGATGCCACGGAACAAGTGGGCCAGGTGAGTGTCCCCCCCCGCCCTCGGTCCCGCGGCCTGTAGGGCCCGGCGCGCTCCCCGGGCGGGGCGCGGGCTCCCCGCCGACCCGGGTCGCGCCGTCGGCGCGGACGCGCCTCTCCCCTCCCTCCCCCACCCCCGGGCTCCACCGACGAGGGCGCGGGCTCCCCGGGCCTCTCCCCACGCCACCCCGACTTGCGTGCCTTCTCTCCCCGGCGTGGATCCTGAGCTGAAATAACCCCTTCCCCACTCAGGTCGGCTCGCTTCGCCCTGCAGCGCTCTCGGAAGACTTGCTTTTCTTTTTCCCACCACGCCAGGCCCTTGAAGATGAGGTTCAAAGTTGGTTTTGGTTTTGTTGTTTTTTTTTCCTTCCCCTAAGAAGTTATTTAACCCAAAACAAAACAAAAACAACGAAATGTCTTGTTGGAGGCAGAAGTGGCGATTAATGTAAGATTTGTTGAGACAGAAGATGAAAGCGGGGAGAAAGAAACCAGCAGGGAGCTACTTTTCGTCCAGACTTGAGTTTAATAATAAGCTCAAATAAATCTAATAAACTTTAATTTTCATTTATCCGGCATCTATGTGGAGCGTCTCTTGCGACCCGGGCGCTGTGTGTCGGGGACGCTGGGACCTGGAAGATGAGGATAGAAAAGGCTCCTGTTCTCCCGGGATGTAGCGGTGCCGGGGTGGCGAAAACAGAACAGCGGCACACCAGTAAATAAAATTTTCAAAAAGATAGGATTGGTTTTGTTCATGGAAAACAACAACAACTACAACCTTTGGGAAGAAAGGAACCCAAGCCTTGGCCCCAAGTGAAATGGTTTGGGAAAGACCATTGCTTTTGTTTTTTTCTTTTCTTTAGTTTAAAGGTACTGGAGCACATTGAACTTGAGTTGATACTTGGGTCAGATGAATGTGTTTTGGGGAAAAGGAACCAGGTTTTATCATGGAGGCAGTATTAATCTTTTTACAAATTACACTCCATGTCTTTCACTGCTTAGACAGTTTCATGATCTTTCTTCCTCCTACATATCACATAGAATGTAGAAAGTAAGCAAAACGGTGGTGAGGTGTTAGACCCCTTCCAGCCCCTCCCCACCCCCCACTCCCGCCCTTTTTTTTTTTTTTTTTTTACCAGATGTACTTAGGTCAAGTTGGAGCATCCTAGGTTTAGAAAAAAAATAATAGTACATGAGGGTCTTTTTGTAGCTTAACCTAGAATTATAAATATACCACCTTCAAATGGTCTTCCTTCCCAGCTTGTTTCCATTTCTGTAGAGAATTTTGCTGTTGCCAGAAATGTGTTTAGAATGTTAGCCTGGTTATAAAGGAGGAAATTTCTGCCCAGTAAAACAAAATGGGGAAAATTGGGGTCAATCAGAGTTTGAATTTGTTGTTGCTCCTAGAAAAACTAGTAGTGAAGATGCTCTGGAACCTAGTATGTCTCGTTTGTGGTTGAGTTGGAGGAAGAGCATAGCAAATTGTCCTACCCAAAGTTGATTTTTTTTTTTTTACATCTTGACAAGAGGAGATGAGTAAAGCTAGACTAGAATCTTCTAGAAAGGAAAACTGAAACTATATATAATGCTCTCTCAGCCCCTATCCCCTTCCCCCATTTTTAGAATAGGAAAATAATTGACAACTACCTACTTAAGAGTATCTAGGGGCAAATAGAAGACAACGTGGAAGTTATATACGGGTTGGTTATCCCTTATCTGAAATGCCTGGGACAAGAAATGTTCAGATTTTTTGGTCTAGGTATTTGCATAGATACAGGTTGGACATACAAAAATACAAGTCAGGCTCCTGGTGACTCACATCTGTAATCCTAGATACTCAGGAAGCTGAGATCTGAGGATCTTGTTTCAAAGCCAGCCCAGGCAGGCAAGTTGGAGAGACTATCTCCAATTAACCACTCCCCCCCCCAAAAAAAAAACATCAAATGTGGAGCTGTGGCTCCCAGTGGTAAGAGTGCTAGCCTTGAGCAAAAAAGCTCAGAGACAGTACCCACGCCCTGAGTTCAAGCCCCTAGTCAGGCACACAAAAAAAAAATCCAAAGTGCTCCAAAATGTTACTCAGATTTCCCTCTTAAGTCATCTTTAATTTTAAAAGCCAGATTGAATTGAGTGCTCTCCCCTATGAGGTCATCAAAATGCCAATTTAGGAAGAGTTCTTAAGAGACAAGTTTATGAATAAAAAGGAAAAGAGACCTTTTTTTTTGGGGGGGGGGTCCGGTTGTAGGGCCTGAACTCTGGGCCTGGGTGCTGTCCCTCAGCTCTTCAGCTCAAGGCTAGCACTGTACCACTTGAGCCACAGTGCCACTTCCGGCTTTTGAAATTTTGCTTATGTGGTGTTGAGGAATCCAACCCAGGGCCTCACGCATACAAGGCAAGCGTTCTACCACTGAGCCACCTTCCCAGCCCTGAGACCTGGTTTTCCAAACCATAATGAAGACCCCCTCCCCTAGTCTCATTTAGTAAGTACAATTTTCTGACCATGTTGCAGGTCAGACTTTGCTGGGCAGTAGAGTGGAGCATGATTCCCTGTAGGTAGTGGTTGATCAATTCCTTTATGACACTGTGTTCACTACTGTAGGAGAATTATAGACACACGAAGGTTTCTGGATCTGGCAAATAATAATACCTACTAATTCTTACCTGTTGTGGAATATTTCTTCTCTTTTAGAGAAAATACTTAAAACTGCTTACCAAAAACAGATGGTGGATTTTAGGCTATTCCTTTTGACTTCTTTAATAAAGACAAAACTCCCTTAGTAAAGAGGATATCATTTAACATTTTAAGGAGAAGGGAAATCTGTACAATTTTTGATCTAGCAAAGCCTGATTTTCATTTTATCTTGTAAAATTTGTCAACCAAGTGTACTAGAAGATGCCTATTTGGATACTTCTGAGGCTAAATTTGAGTTTGGCAGTCTTAGATGAGTACCCCAGTTGTTTAGGTTGCTGCTACTGCAAACCACCAGCTGCCCACTGTTGTCAACTGTCCTTTCCGAGCAGTGCCCTCAGAACATGAAAGGGAAAACACAGGTCCCCTGAGGTTTCATTAGCTAATTTCCCTCACACAGATCCCCAACTAAAATACATCACTGTACTGGAGGAGAAAGAAAGTAGTACTGAACGTTATTTGGTATATTTTACTCTGGTGTACCTATTCTCTCTGTTACTTAAGTCACTCTGATGACAGAAAATAGCACTCCTATTTTGTTTTCTTTAAAACTGCAAGTAAGAACTACTGTTGCCTGGTGCTGGTGGTTCCTTCCTGTAATTCTAGCCATTCAAGAGGCTGAGATCTGAGGATTGCAGTTCAAAGTCACCCCAGTCAGAAAAGACTCCATGAGACTCTTGTCTCCAATTAGCCACTCAAAAAATGGAAGTGGAGCTTTGGCTTAAAGTGGTAAAGTGCTAGCCTTGAGCAAAAGAGCTCAGGGATAGCACCCAGGCCCTGAACAGCCCCACAACCACTAACAGCAACAACAACAAAAAAAAAAAAACCGTTGTACTTCAGTGAAATCTTGTTTTGAAAAAGTCTTTTCCCTATGCTGTAAGCAAAAGATAAATCATAGAGCAGACAAGAAAGAATTATTTATTTTGCATTACATAAAGGGTAAGTGTTAGTAATAGTTGCTAAATTATTTGGTGAAACTGGTGGCCTACCAGTGGTAGAAACTCTTGAATTCAGGTTTGAAACTATTGAAATATGTTTCATTTTCCAGCCTCTTGTTGTGTTTGCCATACTATATTCAGTTTAGATGCCTGTGCCCTCAGCACTTGTGTTTAGGACTTAAATTTTACCTTTGAAGGTCCTAGATCTGACAAGGGGTTTTGTTTTGTTTTGCTCTTAAATACTTAGCTCACATCATGAATTTGAAAGACTCCAATTAAAGAAGGTTAGTATCAGACAAATATCATGACTTTTGAACAAGAACAACTGTGTTTAGGTCTTAAATCTGCTATATAACTTGTTCTGTGGCCCTAGGCAAATCATTTCTCTCTCTCTCTCTCTCACACACACACACACACAGAAAAGTAAAGGTAGTAGCACTTATTGTCAGATATGTAGACATTGCATCACTTGGTCCCTTGTAGACTTTCAATAAATGTTACTAATAACTCCTTTATTTCATTTTTCTCCAATTTTGTTTCAAGGAGAATTTTTCCACTTAACTTTAAATAATGTAAGGTGTTTGTGATGTCTTTAAGTTGGAAGGAAATTTAGATTTGTGATAGTCTGCAGAAAGTAAGGATGCCAAAACTGTTCTAGACCAACTTTATAAAGTCTGCCTAGAACCTCTGAGACAAACCACAGGAATGCAAAGTGGTAGAAAAATCAGCTGTTTTTTTTAACCTTTTCACTGAAAATACAGAATTCACTTTGAGTAATAATTCCTGAAGACTGATGCTATGTATGCATTTTTTGAGGGAACTAACCTTATTTGTGGAAAGTTCCATTAGGAGTTACTATTCTGTTTAGCATTAAATCAAGATTCAGTATTGTCCATGAAAATATGAACAACAAAATTTAGTAAGTTTTAGTCGCTCTACAAATTCCCTTCTTTGTTAATGTGTGGTCTTGTTGTATAGCTCAGGCTGGCTGCAACCCCAAACCCTCTGCTGCCTCTGCCTCTTAGGGCTTAGAATGAGAACACATTTGGTATCAAGATTATAGTTTCTAAGAGGTTTTTAATTTTATTCATTTGCTTATTTTGTATGGGTGTGGTTGAAACTGCGTTTTGAGCTCAGACAAGCTTTTTTCACTCAAACCTCAAACCTGAGATCTTAGTCCCTTAGCTGGGACTATATGCAGAAGCCATCAACACTCAGCTTAAGGGGCATTTATTAAAAGTTTTGTTCTTCTGGGTGCCCGTGGCTTAACACCTGTAATCCTAACTACTTAAGAAGCTGAGATCTGAGGATCCAGGTTGGAGTGCAGCTGCTGGGCAGCAAAAAAAATCAGAGACACTTATCTCCAGTTAATCACAAAAAAGGTGGGAATTGGAGCTGTGACTCAAGTGATGGCTAGCCTTGAGCAAAAACAGTTCAGGGACTGTGCTTACGCCCTAAATTCAAGCCCCCCAGGACCAGCTCACTCATAGGTTTTGTTCATACATTTACAAAAGATACATGTGTGTTATTATTCTATATTATTGTCATCAGTTCAACCAAGTAGTTTAATGAAAGGACTAATTTAGAGGCAACGACAAGAGTTGGGAAATTTTGAATATCAGGGAATACGATTTTTTTTAAGGAAACGAATGGAGGGAAGAACTAGGAGAGAGTGGAGGAAGGGGTGACATTGTCCGAAGAAAAAAAAAATGTACTCATTACCTGACTTAGGAAGCAGTTACCCCTCTGTGTATCACCTTTATTAACAACAATTTAAAGCAGAAATAAGGTAAACATAATTTTGAATGCTTTATTCTAATACATGGCTTTAGAATCTGTTATTCCAGTCAACTGGATATATAGAAAAAATTATTTTTCGTATTCTGATATGTGGAGCAAATTCATCTGTCCTAACCCTTCTTGAATTTAATAATTTCAGAAATCTGTTCCTCCACCTCCTTCAGGGAGCTCATTGGGAACAGGTACCATTTTTTATGGGGTAGGGTTTAAGACAGAATCTTGTAATGTAGCCTATTCTACCACAGCCTCCCTAATGCTAAGTTCACAGGCATGTGACACTAGGCTCAGTTTATGATTGACGCACATTTTATGATTAAATAAATGCAACCATTTTTTTGAGAATTCTACAGTATTCATTACTATTTTTAAGCATGGTGCAGTTACAAGTTAAATTATTTCTACAATGAAGTAATATTGTCACCTTAACAATTTGTGTTTTTGCTTGTTTCATTCTTTAGCATAAAGATGCCTATCAAGTGATACTGGATGGTGTGAAAGGTGGTACCAAGGAAAAACGATTAGCGGCTCAATTTATTCCAAAATTCTTTAAGCATTTTCCAGAATTGGCTGATTCTGCTATAAATGCACAGCTAGACCTCTGTGAGGATGAAGATGTGTCAGTAAGTTTACATTTGACACTTGTAGCAAGTTTTCAAGTTTTTCTGTGAATGGGTAATATAACTAAAGTAATAGTCATGTATGTGCACACTAAAACCTGTCAGTGCAGAGTAATCAAATCACAACTCAGGCTGGCATGCATCACACTAAGGCTTAAATCTCCTTTTGAGAACACCTCCTTTTATTTGTGGAAAATGCCTGGAATTGCAAAACGCTTTTTTTGGTTATTAGTTATCTACTTTTTAAGCTGGGCTGTGGCTGACTATGTGAAACTGGACTGTTAGTATAGTTTTAATACCAGGTACATGTTGCATGGCAGAAAAATAATTAGTCCTATATTAATTGTAAGACTGTTGGAATAAAAAGAGATCATTTCTCCCTGACATACAATTTACCATTAATATCTGTCTTCTGACAGAATTTTCTGGGATTTTTCAACTGTTGGCTCCTCGCTTTTCAAGTAAAGTCAGTGAGAATCAGAATTTATACAGAATTTGCTAGATAAAAGCCAGGTGTCTCACGTCTATAATAGTACCTACACTGGGGGCTGAGACCTGAGGTTCAAAATCAGCCTGGAGGGGTGCGGGGAGGAGGAGGGCCTGTGAGACACTGTCTTTGTCAGCAAAAAAAGAAAAGAAAAAGGCTAGAAGCAAGGCACAACTGGTAGTGTTTCAGTCAAACAGGCCAAGAAAGTACAAGACCCTGAGTTCAAATCCCAGAACCAGTTATAAAAATTTAAAAAATAACTTGGTGGTTATAAAGACTGTAAAACCTAGTAGACTAAGGTCAGTATTTGAAATTAATTATAATCATGAGTGTTAAGTGCTCAATACTGAAACATTTAAAACAAATCAGTTCTAGGTCTGACATTGCCGAAGAAGCCATTTTAGAGGAATAAGGCCCAGGAACCATTGTTTCTATATAATTAGTATACTATTAAATTGGAGCAAATTGAGCCAGGCAGAGTAGCACATGTCTATAGTCCCAGCTATTTAGGAAGCTAAAGCAAGAGGATTGCTTGAGCCCACAAATTCATAATAAGAGCCAGTCTGTCTCAAAAAAAAGCAAATTACCTTTTAAACTGCCAAGAATCTTTTTATGTTTTTTTTTTTTTTTGGTCAGTCGTGGGGGCTTGAACTCTGGGCTTGGTGGCTGTCCCTGTGCTCTTCAGCACAAGGCAAGCGCTCTACCACTTGAGCCACAGTGCCACTTCCAGTTTTCTAGTGGTTTATTGGAGATAAGAGTCTAATGGACTTTCCTGCCCAGGCTGGCTTTGAACTGAGATCCTCAGATCTCAGCCTCCTGAGTAGCTAGGATTACAGATGTGAGCCACTGGCACCCGGCTCTTTTTATGTTTTTTGTAACTTATATACTAGTTACAGTTTCTAGTTTTCTGTAAAAATCAAGTGTGTTTTTAATGACAGTACAATTGAGTTAATTTCTTTGTTAAATCATTCCCAGATTCGACGCCAAGCAATTAAAGAGTTGCCTCAGTTTGCCACTGGAGATAATCTTCCCCGAGTAGCAGATATACTCACCCAGTTATTGCAGACAGGTAAGGGAATCTACTATTTTTATCTATATATAATTTATCTGAAAATAGTAGCTCTGATTCTGGTTTACTTTTGCATAGGAGATGGGGTGCTGAATGTATTACTGATAGGTTAAACTTCTTTATTTAGTAGTTTGGAGTTTTATGACCTCTGATTCTGTAATTCTGATGTCATTTTAATTCCCTTTATAAAAGCATGTTTGGATTCTCTTGGAAATTCTAATGCATCTTCCCAATTTTCTATCGTGAGGTCATCGTACATCTTCATAGAAAAATTTTTCTGGCATGCCAGATTAGACTCTGTACTCTAATAAGTAAAATGTGTCTTTTGATACTTAAGAGAATTGCTTATGTATCAGTTTCTTGTTATGCAACCTAGGAAAAATAGTTGAATCTTAATTTTGACATAAGGCAGATCATAGTTTGCATTTACTTTATATTCACTGTGCTACTTTTTCTTTATTCAGATGACTCTGCAGAATTTAACTTAGTGAACAATGCCTTGTTAAGTATATTTAAAATGGATGCAAAAGGTAAGGACAGTTCTTACTCTGAATTGTAACTTATGTCTTAGAAATGTGGGAGATTGACTTTCCTCATTAAGAAAAAACTAAGTCAGGCACCATGCCTGTAATTCTAGCTACTCAGGAAGCTAAGATCTGAGTCTGGAAAGTCTATAAATCTCTTATCGCTAGTAGTGCCGTAGCTAGGTGGTAGGAAAAAAAAAAAAAGACTTTCTGGGGTTTACCTAAAATATTTATGTTATAAAAATTATAAATATTCTGAAAGAACTCTAAGGTGTCTCTATCTTTTCAATAGAAATAGAATAGTTACAAATTTTTCCTTAGAAACCTGCTGGAAAGACTTCTATTGCCACCTAAAGGAAATTCTCCTAAATAGATTTTATTACTAATGATAAAAGTGGAAATATGGGTTCGAACCAAGTTTGAACAAAACGTGTGATCACTCTTTATTCGGGGATGTAGAAATTTTAAAACTACTTTTAGACTCTTACCTGTAATACCAGTTACTCAGGAGTATTGCAGTTTGAAGCCAGCCCCAAGCTAGTAGACTCCATTTTAACAACCAGGCATGGTAGTACATGTCCATAATCCCAGCTACATGGGAAGTATAAGTAGGAAGATTATGATCTGGGCAAGTGAGACCCACCCTGAAAAAGAACATGAAAAGGGCTATACACATAGTTCAAGTGGTGGGCATTTGTCCTACTAGCACAAGGTCTTGAGTTCAAACCCTAGTACCACCAAAGAAAGATATTTCAACCAACAATATTAATGGCATTCAGGATATACATTAACTTATTCGATTAAAAATAAATAGTATTGGCCTGGGAAGGTGGCTCAGTGGTAGAGGGCTTGCCTTGCATGCAAGAGGCCTGGGGTTCAAGTCCTCAGCACCACATAAGCATAGCAGAAAAAGCCGGAAGTGGCACTATGTCTCAAGTGGTAGAGTACTATCCTTGAGCAGAAGAGCCGAGGGACAGCACCCAGGCCGAGTTCAGGCCCCAAGACCACCAACAACAACAACAAAAACTACAAATTTACCTTGTTTCCACCATACAACTGAATTGTTACAGACAACTGTTTTGTTTTACAGGAACTTTAGGTGGCTTGTTTAGCCAAATACTTCAAGGAGAGGACATTGTTAGAGAACGCGCAATTAAATTCCTTTCTACAAAACTTAAGACTTTACCAGATGAAGTCCTAACAAAGGAAGTAGAGGAGCTTATACTTACAGAATCCAAAAAGGTACATTTCAATTACAACAGTGGAACATCTTTGAGATTGGCAGTATTTATCAGTGTTTTACATGGCTGTGTTTAAAATGATAGGTCCTCAAGAGCTACTGTATACTTCAGGTCTTATAGTGTATTGAGACATGTAATCACATTGAGGTCCTTTCCAGTGCATCAAATTTATGTATCCTGGTAGTTCAAAGCCAGCCTGGGAAGTCCATTAGACTCTTACCCAGTACACTATCAGAAAAACTAGAAGTAGAGCTGTGGCTCAAGTGGTGGAGCACTATCCTTGAGCAAAAGAAGCCTCAAGGATAGGACCCGCACCCTAAGATCAAGCCCCAGACCCCCCCCCAAAATCCTTTAAGACTATACAAATAACCTGTTTGAGAAAACTGCCTGATTTCTAGTATTCTCTTTTATTTTTTCTAGTCCCCTGGATCATTTCAAAATGGAAATTTATTATAATCTATTTTTTCATCACTGAAGTGGGGGTGTAAAATCATTTTTTTTGTACTCACTGCACCCAACATAGTTACAAATGCTGTTTTACAAGCTGTGCACTATTTTTTCTCACCAATTTTAAAATGCCACAGTTTGAGAATACATTAATTCATTACAATGTTCAATGTTTTCTCTAAAGTAATACCACTAACTGACAAGATTTCTTCACTGAGAGATGAGTTTTTCTCTTGCTAGGATTATTGGAATATTTTATCCATGATCCAGCTAATAATCTCATGGCTTGCAGTCCCTTTGATAAGGGAGCACAATGGCTTAACCCTGCTACAAAAGACTTAAAAGTAAGACTAGCATCCTGTCTCCTATTTTGTGTGCAATTTCCTTATTACTGTGAATGAAACTACTTTAAATACAGGAACCCAAACATAGCTTAATAGTTGGCTACATAATTTGCCTATCATTTTTATTACTCTCTAAAGAGCCTCTAATCATTCTGTGAAAATTTTAATGCTATAGGTAACTGTGTATCTGCTTTGTACATTAAAAAAAAATTTAAGAACTAGTTTTTGCCTCCTTGGAGAATGCATGGTTTATCTGAAGGTAGAAGTTTTCTTTTCGTATTTCAGAAAGCATTACTATCAAACACATAAATTTGTCTTTCACATTCAAACAGTAAAAATACTGTTATTCTGAATTGTGTCTCCAGGTCCTAGAAGATGTGACTGGTGAAGAATTTGTTCTGTTCATGAAGATACTATCTGGGTTAAAAAGTTTACAGACAGTGAGTGGAAGACAGCAACTGGTAGAGCTGGTGGCTGAGCAGGCTGACCTGGAACAGACTTTCAATCCCTCTGATCCAGACTGTGTGGACCGGCTCTTACAGTGCACCCGTCAGGCCGTACCTCTCTTTTCTGTAAGCTCTTTGGTTTATTTACAGAGCTGGTATTTTGATGACTCCCTTTTAACTATGTCTTTCTATAGATTCACTGGAACATTCTCTTCAAACCTTTCCGTTGAAGTATTGGTACAGATGGGGCCAATTGATGGAGACCAGGTGGAGGGTTTGAAAGACCTCAGAGTGGCAACAAGTTTCTTGAAATCTTGGATAGAGGCTTTTTAAAAGTCATGGGAACTTTGTATTTTGTCTCTGGCTTTCTGCTTCCCTTGACCATGAGTCTTGTGGGATGTGCATACCTGAGCTTGAAAAACATAAACTCTTTTTGAGAAATGTGGAATATGAGAATCCAACAATCCAGCAAGTGTCCTCTAAATTTGATTTGAGAATCAAAGAAGAGTTCAGAGGTGTGGAGATGTTTCAGTACTCCCTGCAACCTTCCAACAAAGTCTCCAGGCTATTTTTGGGGTTCCCTGGCATAATTATTTGTAGGGGCACCACTTGATGTGCTATATTTAGCACTTTAATATTTCAGGAAATACTTTTTCTTATTTTGGGGTTTTGTTTTATTTTTTTGGTCGGTCATGGGGCTTGAACCCTGGGCCTAAGTGCTGTCCCTCAGCTCTTCAGCTCAAAGCTAGTACTCTCCCACTTCAGCCACAGGACCACTTCTGCCTTTCTGGTGGTTTATTGGAGATAAAACTTGGGCTGGCTTTGAACTGTGATCCTTAGATCTCAGACTCCTGAGTAGCTAGGATTACAGGCGTGAGCCACCAGTGTCCAGCAAGGGTTTTTGTTTTTGTTTTTGTTTTTTTTGGTCCAGTCATGGGCCTGAACTCTGGGCCTGAGCGCTGTCCCTCAGCTCTTCAGCTCAAGGCTAGCGCTCTACCACTTGAGCCACAGCTCCACTTCCGGCTTTTTTCTTTTTGATTATGTGGTGCTGAGGAATCAAACCCAGGGCCTCAAGCATGCAAGGCAAGCGCTCTACCACTGAGCCACCTTCCCAGCAGTTTTTGTTTTTTGAGAGTGTTCAGTCAGTGATTTTTTTGATTTTTATTCTTACTTATTTTTTACAGAAAAATGTCCATTCCACAAGATTTGTGACATACTTCTGTGAGCAGGTGCTCCCTAACCTCAGTACCTTGACTACCCCAGTAGAGGGGCTCGATATACAGTTAGAGGTAAGAGAAAATCCCTTTCAGCACTGAAAGCGTTCATTCATGCATGTGAACCAAAATGTAAACCACTAACTTAGCTCTGATTTCTAAGGGGGTAATTTAAGTGTTTGGTAATGTCCAGCCAGCAATCTCCTAGGCCAGGATTAATTACAGAGAGTAATTCGTGGGTTCAGTTCCAGTTTGCTACAGCAGGAGAGCACTACTTTATAGATTTATCATTCATCAGTCTGTACATTGAAACTGGTATTCTCCATAACTTAACAGGACCAGATTTACAAAATATCCTTTATTCTTGATCATTCAGTAGAATTGATGATTCTCCTTTTTGTCACATCATCCATACATTACATTTATGTTTAATATCTCTCTCCTACATTTAATCTGATTTATCTTCATACCCCCAGAATCCAATACAGAGCCTGTTTTTGAAAAACACATAGTAACTATTGGAATATAGAAATCCAAGTACCATTTCTTTCTAAGTTCTGTAGGTTAGAGTCTTAGTATATACTAATGTATATGCCCTGGGCTCAGCTCATCTGACTGGGACTAGCTAAAAGCAGGGATGAACATTCAGAATATTGGCCACTATCTGTTTTAAATTGATTTCTCAAGATTAAATTTAATAGCAAATGAAAGCCTACCTATGGTAGTAAATGCTAGTAATTCATGCCCTTGAGAGATCTTTTCCAGTGTCTCTTTATAGTACAAGTTCAATTACTAAATGCATTGAATTAGTATTATGGTTTTTTAAGATGTAGCAAAAGTAACTTTTCCTTGCTTCTAACAGATACATTAGAAACTGAGATCTGGGTTTCATAATCTGCCCTGGCTCTCTCACATATGCTGTTACTTTTACTAAATCATATATTTATGGATTGCATCTCTTAAGTTTCTTTCTAGCTCAAATATTACGATCATGTACAGACCTAATTAAAAATAAGCCAAGTCTTAAATAAAACATCATTCAAAAGTAGTAATATTAAATTGTGCATTTTAGGTATTAAAATTGTTGGCAGAGATGAGTTCATTTTGTGGTGACATGGAGAAGTTAGAAACAAATTTAAGAAAACTATTTGACAAGTTATTGGTAAGAATACTTTTTTCTTTCCTTATGTTATAACCAGTATATAGTTCTATCATCTAGTTTACTATCGATTTCTAGATAACAGAGAACCAGCTTTTGAACTTTAGATTACATAATAATTCTAGCACATCTATTTTAGTACTGTAATTTCTTCGGTTGATTTTTTTTTTCAAGAGTACACTGGACTTATAAAGTAGATCTTTCTCGGGAGGGGGGAGGCTGGGAAGGGATGGGAAAAAAAATATAAAAAAGAAAAAAAAAAGTTCTTGAGTTGGGTTACTTCAATAAAGAACGAAGATAGGAATTTCAAGTCAAAAAAAAAAAAAAGTAGATCTTTCTCATATTCCCGTATCAGAATAATTTTGTATCTGCAAAAGAAATTAGCATTAACTCTTCTTGGTTGTTTTAAATATAATCTCAGAACTGAAGTTGCCATTGCAAAAAGTCATTTGTTCCAGTCCAGCAACTAGGTAGCTGCCTAAGGCCAAGGAGCTTTAGCAACCAGGAAACAGTGTCTGTCATTCAATTAGTAATTGTGGATAAAATAGGCCATCTGACAAAAACCAGGATCAGCATCACTGAGTGACTTTCTTGTTAATGTGAGCAATTATATAACACAGCAATAAGCTGTAGGCCCTTTAGCATGAATTAAGTCATCTGAGTCCACTGCTTATCCAGACTTGCATACTTATTGGGGGTGTTATGGAATGTATATTAAATGCCTGTGTGCACCCTGTCACTATACAGGTATTCAGTACTTGAAACAGTCTAGTCAAAGGATGTTTTGAGTCATTAAGAGCATCAACTTTGCTGGATGCAATCTAAACTACTCAGGAGACTGAGATCTGAGTATCACAGTTCAAAGCCAGCCCGGGCAGGAAAGTCCATGAGACTCTTGTCTCCAGTTGACCACTAGAAAACTAGAAGTGGTATTGTGTCTCAAAGTGGTAGAGCACTAGCCTTGAGCAAACAAGCTCAGAGACAGTTCCCAGGCCCTGCGTTCAAGCCCCATGACTGATAAAATATAAATAAAAGAACATTAACTTTTGGTTTCACACCTATATAAAGTCCTGATTATGGACTTCCTTCTCCTTTGTGTCTGATGTAGCTACTTTCACATTAATTATTAGCAGGAACTATAGCAGTATAATGAGTGGTGACATAGTAGAGCATTCATACAGTAGATAAAAGAGATCTTTACCTAAGTTTTCCTGTTTATGGTAGTTTTTAATGTGCCTTCTCTTTAAAGCATACTTTACAATTACTTGAGTTTCTGTCTATAGAGGAGAGCAGATTAAAAACATTTCTGTTCTTCTGTTTCTTAGGAGTACATGCCTCTCCCTCCAGAAGAAGCAGAAAATGGGGAGAATGCTGGTAATGAAGAACCCAAGCTACAATTCAGTTACGTGGAATGTTTGTTGTACAGTTTTCACCAGTTGGGCCGAAAGCTTCCTGATTTCTTAACTGCCAAACTGAATGCAGAAAAGCTCAAAGACTTCAAAATCAGGTAATAAATGCTTGAAATGGTTCAGTGTTTGGTGAAGGTTGAAGATACGTGGGTTTTGTTGTTCAACAAGTGCATTCTCCCTCCCTACCGTAAACTTTATACAGTGGAATAGAATAGAGGGTTCAGAAGATAGACGTGCATAAGTATGTTATAGGTGTGACATAGAACTCTTATGAGGGAAATAAACTTCCAAGAAGAATGGACTCTGACTCTTCACTTCCTTTATGAACATAGCCTGTATCCCCATCCTGTTTCCCTGTTCCTAGCCCCTGTTCCTACTTTCCTTATCTGTTCAGTTTAAATAGTAATGGAGAAGCAAGAATTCAGTGAGACTGAGTGTCTTGCACATAATAAGTATTGATACCTGTTGTCGTTATTATCAGTAGTAATAAGATGATCAGTGCTAAAGAAATCAGTATTGGTAGTTTTCATAAAGACACTGTATTGAATTATTCCTTCAACAAATTCACATCATCTATTTTGAAGCACAAGCCACAGTGTTACCTGTCACTTCCCTAGAAGGAGTACTTTAATCTTTGATGAAATATTAAAGGTATAGTAACATATACCTTTAGTCTTGGACACTTGGGGAGGATAGCCAAGAGGATTGCTTCATCTCAGGAGTTTAAGAACAGTCTAGCAAACACAGCAAGACTATCAACAATTAAAAAATATTTGATGAAATACTTGAGTAGAAACAGGAAATTTAAGAAGTTACTCTAATTTATTGGTCATGTAGCCAGCCATTTATGTACTAAGGATCATTTTGCTATAGAAGATTGTTTGAACTTAAAAGCAAAATTGGAATGATAAATTGCTAATTAAGCACTTTTCTATTTAGGCTGCAGTACTTTGCACGGGGCCTTCAAGTTTATATCAGACAGCTTCGCTTAGCTCTCCAGGGAAAAACAGGCGAGGCCTTGAAAACAGAAGAGGTAAGACTGTTGGCTCACAGCTCATGAACTGCTAACTCCATATCAGATTATGTAGGCGTATGTTGGGATTTTGTGTTTCGTGCTTTGGGATTTTCATTCTTAATGTTACCAGTCTACATCCCAGTTCTGAAGGAATACTTTGAATTTTCATTATGTCTTAATGGCAGATTTCTTTTAAAATAAGTCTGTGTGCATCTATCATTTATACATTTTTAAGTAAATTATTGATGACATGAACATTCCAGCCTGTTGAAGAAACAGATGATTTACTTTCTTTGCTATATCTAGACTTGTGTAGACAAGAAACAAAAGTAAGCATCATCTATAAACCTGACAAGCAATTCTCATATTCTGATTATTTCTAATTATTTTCCCTTTGCAGAACAAAATCAAAGTTGTTGCATTGAAAATAACAAACAACATCAATGTTTTAATCAAGGTAAGTCTTTTCTTTCTTCAACTATTTAGAAAGTATAAAGTTTTTCATGTTTTTCTGGTCTGTAATGGTAGGCTTTATGATGAGATGCCATTTCATTCTTAATATTGAACCCTTTTGAAGCTTTATACTTTCGGAACATTTCAGCAGCTATAATAAAGTCATATTTTATTTAAAAGATTTGTAGAAGGTAAGAGAAGCATCTAACTCTTCCCTGACCCAAAGATAGATTTAGACTCAGATATTTTAGTGGCTTAACTTCTAGTGGTCCTAATGCTGTTAGGTCTTTTGGACTAGACTGTCAAACTCTGCACTGCTTATTCTTTTGGGGCAAAACTCTGGGCCTGGGCGCTGTCCCTCAGCTCTTCAGCTCAAGGCTAGCACTCTACCACTGGAGCCATGTGGTGCTGAGGAATCGAACCCAGGGCCTCATGCATGCAAGGCAAGCGCTCTACCACTGAGCTACCTTCCCAGCCCCTGCACTGCTTACTCTTAACAACATGCACATGCTGTGTAGCACATGAAATTTTTTTTGTCTTTTTTTGTAACTTTTCAATGAAATACATTAGGAGCTTTTTGTACTGTAGGCTAGAATATACCAAATGACTGAGCCCTCCAGTTCTCCCGTTCCTTTCCAAGTGTTTGCCAAGTGTTTACTGTCATGTTACTAACAGCTAGAGCACAAAGCTTGACAATTAAGAGGGTAGGGGAGGAGTGTGGCTTGTACCAAATCACTAGCAAAAAGCTCAGCCCTGAGGTTCAGCCCTAGTACTAACTTTTTTTTTGTTGGTCATGGAGCTTGAACTCTGGGCCTGGGCGCTATCCCTAAGCTCTTCAGCTCAAGGCTAGCAGGCACTCTGCCACTTCAGCTTTTTCTGTTTAATTGATGCTGAAGAATTGAACCCACGGCCTCATGCATGCAAAGCAAGCACTCTACCACTGAGCTACCTTCCTAGCCCCTAAAAACCGTTTTTTTGTTTTTTTTTTTTAAAACACTAATAAGGACTACTGTGTCTTAAAGCTAATAGAAACCTTGTGAAATAATTGCTCTTTTATCAAAAGAGACAGGGAAGTATTTCAGAGAACATAACAGTAGTAGAGCACTTGCCTACTATGTGTGAGGCCCTGGATCAATCCATAAAAAAAAAACAAAAGGAAGCAGAAGAAACAGCAAGAATAATTGAAGCTTGAAGCTTCCTCATTTAAAACTAATCAGCATCATTTCCTCTTTTCTTCCCCTCTCCCCATGCTGCTATGAAACCCAGAGCCTCCCACAAAATAGTCTTCAAGATGTGTCTTCCTGCTTCCTACCTTTCCACACTCTCTGGGACTGACAAATACATTAGGAATCTTATTTTGGTTTTTTTTTTTTTCTCTGCAGGATCTCTTCCACATTCCTCCTTCATATAAGAGCACAGTAACATTATCTTGGAAACCTGTACAGAAAGTTGAGATTGGGTAAGAAATGAATTTAAAAAGGATTTGAACGTTATCAAAATTTAAGTTTACTGTACGTGAGGGTACATTGTTAAATGATTCAAGAAAATGTTGAAAGCATGACTTAAAATATAAAATCTAATTCTAATATTTGTCAAACTAATGGGATGTCTCAGGCTTCTTTGTATTTCTGTAGCATAACTTAGATTTCTCTTGACAGTTTTCTTTGGTTTGGTTTGATTTTGGGTGTTGGGGCAGGGGGTAGGGAGTGTGCTAGTCTTGGGGCTTGAACTTTGGGTCTGGGCTTGGTTGCTGAGCTTTTTCACTCAAGGCTAGTGATCTACCAATTGAGTCACAGCCCCACTTCTGGCTTATTTTTTCCTGGTTAATTGGAGTCCAGAGTCTGAGTCTCACAGTTTCAAATGACTTTTCTGAATTAGCTTGGAAACTAGTTTTTTCTTTTGGGAAATTGAACATATTCTACCAGGAGGTTTAACACCATAAGGTTATAACTGCTCTCACAATATTTTGAAGTTCAGAGTCTGAGTCACTTAATTCCAGTTAACTCAGGCTGGCTTTGAACTGCAATCTTCATCTCAGCCTCCTGAGTAGCTAGGATTGCAGGTATAAGCCATCGATACCCAGCTTTTTCTGACAGTTTTATAAAATGAGTCATTTACATGTAAATCTCAAGTTTCAGGTTATTTTAAAGCCTTGTAAGTGCCTTCTGACAATGTTATAGTCGTGGTTAATTTGACATGGAACAGTATGTCTTTTTTTTTTAATGTACTATCCTCTTCAGAATGTCTTTTTACAACTATTATGCAGGTTATCTTGTTGATAGCGCCTGGAACAATAGAATATTAATTGTTGGGTTATTCCTACTGTTATAGGCAAAAGAGAGCCAGTGAAGATACAACTTCAAGTTCACCACCCAAGAAATCTTCAGCTGGACCAAAAAGGGATGCCAGACAGATTTATAATCCTCCCAGTGGAAAATATAGCAGCAATTTGGGCAACTTTAATTATGGTGAGCGTTTCCGTTTGGGTACAAGCAATACGAGAGAAGAGTAGTTAAAGAATAGGTTGTAATTGATTCTAGTTATTAGTTACAGATAGTGTCATTGTTCTACCAAATGACTTTTCTGAATTAGCTTGGAACCTAGATTCTTTTGAGAAATTGAATATATTCTACCAGGGTGTTTAACATCTTCAGATTATAAGTGCTTTCATAATAATTTGAGGATTTTTCTTCTCACTATCTAACCTTTCTCAGTACCCAGTTTTATCATTTTACTAACTAATAAGTAATAATGGCACAAGAAACAAACAAAAGTTACGAAATTAACTTTCAGGATATTTCCAAGTTGCCAAGATAGTAAATCAAACAAGAGCAAAACTCAGCTTTTATTGCTGCTAACAAGTTTGCTACAATGAGGAAGTTTTAAAGTTCAGTGAAGGGATTTATCTCGTAAGTTCAGTTTCTTCATTGAAAAGACTTCTTTGAGGAATATTTCTCTAAGACTATAAAAATAACTGACCAAAAAGCTGGCATGGTAGTTCATGCCCGTAGTCCCAGTACTGAGAAGGCTGAGGCCACTCTGGACTACAAAATGAGTCTGTCTCTAAAAATAAAAGTGACTGACAAGTGGACACAAGTGACTTGACCTTCCAGTAAACTATCAGTAAGTCATAAATGATGTGCACGTGTGTGCACATACACACACAGTACACACATATCTTTTTGCTAGCATTTTGGAAGCGCAAGCAATAATAAAAGCTAATACACATTTGTATCCTACAGTTATGTGAATCTAAGTGCTTTAAATAATGTGATCAAAAGAAATAACCTAGCTTGGCACTGGTGGCTCCCACCTGTAATCCTAGCTACTCAGGAGACTGAGATATGAGGATCGTTGTTCAAAGTCAGCCAGGGCAGGAAAGTCTGTGAAACGCTTATCTCCAGTTAACCACCAGAAAACTGCAAGTTGTGCTGTGGTTCAAGTGGTAGAACCTTGAGCTGAAGAGCTGAGGGGCAGCACCCAGGCCCAGAATTCAGGCCCCATGACCGACCAAAAAAAAAGAAAAAGAAAAGAAATAACCTCTTTTATGCATATGAAAGGTACATCTTTCACTGAAACCATTATTTTGGAATTGAATATTTTCAGTTCTATGTTAAGTATATACATTTTAAAGTTTCACTAATTACTTGGTAATGATATGGTACCAAAATAAAGAACTAAGAAATATAATTACCATAATAATGTCACTTTGAAATATTTGTGTTAAAGGATATATTTAATTGACTGTACTGTGAGTGTATTTGGAAACTTGTCCTATACCTGGTCATCTACACTTCAGTATAAACCTGTGCTCCATCCCATTTTACAGTCAGAATGAATTTGTAGAAGATGTAGCCAGTGCTAGTGGCTCATGCCTATAATCCTAGCGCCTCAGGAGGCTAAGATCTGAGGATTGAGGTTCAAAGCCAGCCTGGGCAGGAAAATCCATGAGACTCTCTCCAATTAACTACCAGAAAATCAGAAATTGAACTGTGGCTCAAAGTGGTAGAGGCTCAGGATTAGCACCCAGGCCCTGAGTTCAAACGTCAAACAATCAAATAAAAGCATATACCCATTTCACATTTATAAAACCTGTTATTAAAGCTAAAGCTGTCTTTTTTTGGGGGGGGGAGGAAAGGGGTCTGGTCCTGGGGCCTGAACTCAGCCTGGGCGCTGTCCCTCAGCGCTTCAGCTCAAAGCTAGTGCTCTACCACTTGAGCCACAGCGCCACTTCCGGCTTTTTTCTTTTTGCTTATGTGGTGCTGAGGAATCGAACCCAGGGCCTCATGCATGCAAGGCAAGCGCTCCACCACTGAGTCACCTTCCCAGCCCAGCTGTATTTCTTTTGTACCATGAAATCCCAAGCAAGTCCTAAACCCTTGTTCGCTTTTTCGTAGAGCAGAGAGGAGCCTTCAGGGGAAGTAGAGGTGGCCGAGGTTGGGGAACACGAGGAAATCGCAGTCGAGGAAGACTCTATTGAATAAGACATCACGTTCTTCAGCATTGTCATGGCTTAATATACTTAAATTCTACTACTCATTGGATTGCCGGGGATGTCCCTTAAAAAAAGACTGCTGCCTTCAGCTAAAAACTTAAATGTTCTTTATACCTTTGTATGTATGCTCTACTTTTGTAACAGACCATGGTTACGTCCAAGGTAAAAACCACAATAATATTTTTGGATGCTTTGTCTGCAGTCTTGACTTGTTTTTGCAGTATCTTCATTATTCAGATTTCATATTGTGAATCTTTTAAACATCTGATAATTTGTTGTTGAAAGCTGTTTGAGTCTAAAGTATAACGTATTCAGTCTAGTTCTGTTATCTGGTAAAAGATAATCAGTTAAAGGGTTACTAACTTTCCTCTCCCCTTTTAGTTTTCTGCCCAATATATGGAGAAGAGTAATGGTCAATCTTAACATTTTATCTTCGTCTTTAATAAAGCTGCTAGGCAGTGCTGCAGCACCCACCCAATGTCATGAAAATACCAGCTTCCTTAAAATGCAGGGGTAATACTACATCTTTAGGAGGAAGCAATGTGCTCTGCACTGCTTACTCTTCTCCATTGATCGGGGGATATACCTTTGGAATATGTGATCTTATATTTGAATAGAAATGCGTATGTATAATATGCATACACACATAAGCATGTGTGTGTGTGTATGTGCATGCTGTGAAACTTGAGTACACAACAAATCAATATTTGAAATTCCAGGAATGGTAATTATACTTTTAAGGATGAATCCATTATTGAATGGAAAAACCTAGGTTTTTACTCCCAGTAGAGAAGAACTTTGAGTCAGTTGCACTTACATGATAATTGTTATTTAAAACTAAAACAAAGGTTGTATTTCCAGAGATAAACTTGGGAGATCCTTGTTGGTGAAGTACAGCCAGATCTGATGTACATATAGGTTTCTACAGGAAGAGATAGTATAATTTAGGATTTGGAGACTTAAAACCAGGGCTACCCAGGAAAAGTGACTTGATAACATAGTACCTATAAGTAAGGGATGCTCTCTCCGTTTGCTTTTGCCACTTTCAAGAGTTTAACTTCTCAGGTTATTAATCAATTATTGTATAAGTTAGCCATTAGAAACTAGGTTAAAACAACAGATGGGAGGTTTGTGGAGTGTCTAATGTCATGGGCATTTTTAGTAGCATAGACCCTTTTACTCTGCATTTGAATGTTCCTTATTTTTTTGTTCTATAGTTAATCTTCCCTTCCCACGTTTGCTATTCAAATCAAATGCCCAATGACATTTCTAGTAGTTTCATGTATTTTATAAGGAATAGTTTGTGATTCCAACACAGGTGTCTTTGTTACCATTATTTCTACACTGGGAAAAAAGCAAAAACCCCTTTGTTAGAATTACTGCACGTTTATAGGGCAGACATTTCTAAAAGCTAAAGTGATACAAGTGAGCACAAGAAGTTAGTCAGCTTAACTATGGAATGGTGGCAATAATCCTTAACCATTCCAAAAGACTGAGCTGAATCTAAACTCACTTGTTATCTGAACAGACATAGGAACATGGAATTATCACTTGAAAACTGTGACCTGCTAGTCTGGACCTCAGATAGATGGGCCGATGGCCTAAAGCCATTTCAAGAATAGAAACTACAGCTATGTATATTTGAACATTAAGGGTGATTTTTTTCCTTTTTTTTTTCCAAAAAGTGTATTTGTAAACTCAGACTCACAGGAGTGGCTTGATATTCTCAAGTCTGATTTTGAGTTGACATTTCTTCCCTTACTACTTTGTAGTTTGCCTTCCCTTTCCTAAGGCAACAGTGCACAGCTTGGGGTTTTTTGCTTCCGTTCTTTGAAACTGTCATGCCATGGATGTTCTTTCTTTTGCAAGACACCTGTTTATCAACTTGTTTAAATGTAAATGTTCCCGTATGCTTTTTAAATAAATTTCCTTTTGTAATTTTTGTTTTGTGTCTGGTGTTATAACTTTCTAATTTTTGGATATTTATTAACATTGATTGCTTCTCCTGTGCCTAGCAGTGTGTTAGACCTTGAAAATAAAAGGACAGGCAAAGCCCTTCAAGGAGGATAGTCTTTCTTGAAAAATCATCTCATCTAGATTTATTTTTTATGAGCTTAATAGTCTCAAAAAGAAAAAAAAGAATTTGGTTCTTTTCATCAAAACATCACACTTGTAACCCCAGCACTTGAGAGTCTGAGATGGAAAGTCATGAGTTCCTAAGACATTCCAAGACCCTCTTTTTAAAAAACAAAGAAATTGGGTTCTTAGCAAATCATGAAATGTTGTTCCCATCCTGAAGTAATAAGCAAAGCAAGTTGGAACGAAGAAAGTTGCCAGCCTTTTTTACAGTCATTCCTATAAAAGCACTAAGACATGTTCAAGTTGGTGTGGACTACAGAGAGACAGTAAGACAGGCCAACTCAGGGAGTTTACATTTTACTATGTAGCTCTGATGCATTTAATACTAGAATAGTAAGGGCTATGAGGACAGCATTCCAATGTGTAATTAAAGCAAGTTCAGGAAGACTAGCCAGACAAAGCTGAATAACTTTTGAGTAAGAAAATGGGTTGTTTCAAATCTCTTAGGTTCTTTATCTCTAGAACTCCTAAATTCCCAGAACTGCTTATTATAGTATTGGAGAATATTTTCTCTGGGAATATTGTCCCTTCATTCTGCACAATCATTGTGTCAGAATAGATTTCACTGTGAAGCCTTGCTTACAGCATGGCCATAGCACCTGTGGACTCCCTTAGCTTTCAGCTTTTTTTTTTTCCTCTCATGTTAGAAACTAGAAGAGGGCCAGGCATCAGGGGTTCATGCCTGTAATCCTAGCTACTCAGGAGGCTGAAACCTGAAGATTGTGGTTCAAAGCCAACCCCAGCAGGAAAGTCTGTGAAACTGATCTCTTAATTAACCACCAGGAAATGAAGTGGATTTAAGTACTATGGGAACTAAAATTTAATGAAATCTAATCTTCACGAAAATATTAACACTCCCTAAAACCACAAACAAGATTCAGCAAAACTGGTCATCGGACAGCTGATGATAGAAGCCCTAGTTAGAATACATACAGTTCCAATATATTAATCCTCTGAGGAAGAACTAGTTTGTATCCTATCAAGTGGTAAGAACAACAATGACCCAAACTCAAGTCTTCATGAGTTTGAATTTAGTCACAAAAGTAGTATATTGCTTGAGTATAGACAAGAGAGATACAACTTAGTGGCTGAAGGCAAGTATGAACAGTCAAAACACTGTTGACCAATGAGACTGTCAAGTGTATTAGCTGCAAGCATTTGGATAAAAGTGGCTGGACAATATGACAAGAAAATTGGAGGATGACTGTCCTGCCATCCTCAGAACAACCCTAGTGTCAGAGACGTCTCAACTGATTTGACACTTGGTCACAGCCACAGTAGTCCTCATGCTTCAGACTTAACTGTACAAATTTTATAGTCTTATCACAAAGTAACATTGTATTTACCAGTCAGTGTTACAGAATTCAAAGGAAGTAGACATGTTTATAGACAGGAATTTAAGTTGTAATTTGTGACAGACTTGAGAGGAAGCAAAAGGAAAGACTGGGAACAGGGTAAGTAAAAGCACTCCTAAGTGTTTTGATGTGATATTTAAAACAGTTCAGCAAAAGACTGAAGGAATAATTAATTGCAAGTCAGGATCTATGTGTAGTAGGCAGAAGTCTATGACTCCACTGATCTTGCTCCATAAAATCATATACACAAACATAAATATCTACATATATGTGTATATGCTACTATAAAATACTATAAAACAATTTTTATTTGTAGACACGAGTAGGCCTCTACACCTAAAAGTAAAATAAATGAAAACAAAGAGATGCCATCATTTGCCTCTTCAGAAGACTTTGGTATCCTCTTTATTCTGTTTAAGCTCAGCATTAAATATGCCCAAGTTCTGGGGCTGGGAAGGTGGCTCAGTGGTAGAGCGTTTGCCTTGCATGCATGAGGCCCTGGGTTCGATTCCTCAGCACCATATAAGCAAGAAAGAAAAAAAGCCGGAAGTGGTGCTGTGGCTCAAGTGGTAGAGCGCTAGCCTTGAGCTGAAGAGCTGTGGGACAGCACCCAGGCCCAGAGTTCAGGCCCCACGACCGGACCCCAAAAAAAACCCAAAAAACAAACACAAAGGCAGGCTGAATATGGTAGTTCATGCTTATAATCCAAGCTACCCAAGAAGTAAAGACAAGGAATGACTAAATATGCCCAAGTTCTTATAGCCTGAAACCAACTTCACCTGTATACATTTAACTGTTTGTTTTGCCTGAACCATGACCTATGGACAAATCTTTCTTCAGTTGGTTAATTGTCCTCTTCTCTATGCACCTGTGTGCCCCTTCCTTCATACTATATTTTAATTATTAATGCTGATATCCCATCGTATTGCACACTGCTCAGTGGTCAGATTTCCATACCTAGATATTCTTCACCTATCAGGCAAAATAAGTTCATCACAGACTTTTAATAAAACCACACACACTTCAAAAACTCAGCATGAAATGGAATCACGTGCTTATGCACTCGTTTTTATTTTCTTGTCACATACTTACTGTAGAGATGTGGTCAGACAATACTCTCATTCAGCTTTTCCCCCAAAAAACAAAAGCTATGACAAACCTAAATACAAAATGACACAGAAAGCTAGTAGTGAAATGACTAAAAATAACCCATCTGGCTAGAAAGACAGACTCTATAAACTAGTTGATTGTCCAAAGGTTCACTAGAAGGAAGTAGTTCTTTCAGACTTTCATATACAGTACCAAACACCTGAAGCTCTGGTTAAAAGCACTGTGACTCAGCAGGCTACTAGTGGAAGAGGGAGAGAAGGCCAGACTCTGAACTTGTACAATAAGCTCCCACATGATGCCACGGCTTTCCCACAGGCAGAACTTATTATCTCTGGTGCCCTCTTGGAGAGCCATTGGACACATGCAGTTTTACTAAGCACCAAAACCTTCAACTAAATACAAACCAAATTTCCAAGACTTGGGGAGGGGACCAAGGAGGGCGGAGGGGAGGGGGGGGGAAGGTATGCAAGTAAAATAGCTGAATCCTGTGTACAGACTTCACCTTGAGCAGGCAATGTCTCATATACAATGGGATATGTTTACAAATTACTGGGCTAGGTCCTAAAATTTGCAGGCGTGCCTGCAGTAGAGTGCTATCAGCATGCCCTGCCTTTAACACTGAACATGGGGAAACTTTCCAAGTTGTAGGCAGTTCAAAAGCTTACCTTTTGTTTTCCCAGTAATTTATCAGAAATTAAAAAAAAAAAAAGGCAAACGTATAAGAAAGGGAAATCCTAAAAATCCCGATCCGTCAGCTCTGGCTCCAGTGCCCACCCCTGGAGACGGGATCACAGTCCTGAAGACCAAACAGTAGCCCTGGGAGGCTCACCCCTGTCACCCCAGCTCCTCAGGAGGCTAAGATCTCAGAACTGCGGATCAAAGCTACACAGGGCCGGAAAGCCCAGGAGACTCTGTTCTCCAACTGACCACCCAGAAGCTGGACGTGGGGCGCCAGGGCGAACGACAGCCCTGAGCACACAGGGGCAGGCCTCGAATGCAAGCCCTCAGACGGGCACCAAGACAAACCCCGAAGGCACGGCGGCGGGTCCCGCCGGGCCGCTCCGGCCACGGTCCGAGGCCAGCCCCGACAGGCAAGGCGAGCACCCCGCAGCCG